TTCTTATCTATTTTTCAAGAAGCTTCTCAAAGACAAGGTTATTCGAAATGCTCGTAATCCACTCATGTGGTTAATGATCTACGTGAAACGCTATACAAGGTGAGTTATTCAGCACTTTGTCGTTGTTATGAGGCTTGAGTGGCTTTACGAGTCACGACCATGTGTTTTTGAAGCCCAGACTGCCGAAACCGAAACGCTTGCGTACGCTCAGAACGCCGACGCAGAGTATGAACGCAGTCTGAGCCCACTTCGAAGTCGCCTGAGCCATGAGCACACTGATTCTCCGTTATTTCTGTTCCATTTCATATACGAAGACGCTGCACAGCGTCCGATGACTTTCAAAAGTCGTCTCGCACCTTTATGAAGTCCTAGAACATTCAAGCTTGCACTAGAATATCTGGTCACTCACCAGATATTCTAGTGCAGATTCTGTCAGTTTCTGATGAAAAGTTCTGCAGTAAAAAACTTCGAAATAAAAAATATTCGGTGATATCACGCAATACTTCAAAATGTGCTCTTCTGAAACGTTACAATGTCATTTCCAGGCTTTACTTCAAATAGCTAGAAGGATAGTATTGTACCTTAACGTGCTTCCCTTAAAGATTCTTTTAGGCTCACTCCAACTTATGCCGTTATTATGTGGTTCGACGTAACATTATTCACGTACGTCTCGTCGGGACCCTTCTGGAGACCTGTTGAACAGCAAGGTTGCCGCACCAGCTGGTGGACAAATTTTATCTACATGAATAACTTTCTTCTTCAGGACAAAGAATGTGTAGGTCGTCAATGTCTGTTCAGTTGTAATCGGCGCAGAATCGGAATAGAATCTCAAAAATTCAATGTTTGATGGGCTCTGTCTCTGAGGACTGAGAGGGTGTTCCAGCGACGGCTTGCGTGTTTTCGCGCCGACTGTCGTTTCTTGTAGAAACGTCTCTGCCTCACTTTCCTGTACACTCGCAGTCGTCGCAGCTACGCCCCCATACTGCTCTCATTGTCAGATATACACTGTATGTGTTTCCTTTGTCCAATTCTGCTTTACGGTACCCTCATTTTTTCTTTTCCTTGCTGCAAACAAGCTATCGTGAAGTCACCCGCTATATATATAGGTTGGCGGGAAAGTTCTGTCATACTTTTTTGAACCCAAGTATTCGCCTATTACCTGAAGAGGGCTAACCGGTAATGTGAGCATTTATACATTAAGGATTGATCTTTCTATTAGTGTCACTGGTCGGCTCCCTCATCCTATTCTGCATGTATGGACAACGAATGGTATCCGCGCTACCACGCCAGCACGGACCCCTTTTAAAGCGTTCGCTTAAACGTATTTCTGTCTTTAAAAACCCACCCTGGGGGACGGGCCGGCATGGCAGCTGTCGACGCCGAAATAATGGAGCTGCACAAGGACAATGTCTACAGTCATCAGACAATCTTCCACGACGCTAGCTCTTCAGAGCGGGAGCCTACGGTTCGAATGACGAAGTGAGGTTCGGGAGTACCTGTAAACTCAGCTCTAGATAGCGGTGGGTCGGGAAACTGGATGAAGAAGCTGCCTCCTCGGTCAATCCGTACGCAAGGCAGCTACGAGATCTGAAGCGAAGTCGTCAAGCAGAGGGCAAAATCTACGGCACAGTCCGTCTTAAGCGTTGCTGGTTGCAGCACCCCGCCCCCCACCCCCGTCAAAAAAAGTTCGAAGCCGCTCCTTCATGCAAATAAAGAAACTGGATTGGGGGGGGGCCTCTTCCCCTTGCAATCGGTGTAGTCCGACATTGCTCTGCTGACTGGCATGCCTCCCGTATTCAACCGTTATACAAAGCCGAGAAAACCTCCACGACTTGAGCCCAAGTCAAAGTTGAGATGATGTCCAACTTTGCGTCGCGCCGGCGTGCATTGTTGAAGCGATGGCATCCACGAACTGTCCAAAACTGGCAAGGATCTCTCAATAACATTGCCCTGTCGCGATTGTTGATCTGTGTAAGCCTGCTGATAAAAATAAAGCCTAGTTTGAAAATGTGACAGAACTTTCTCGTCAACCTCATATTTGGATTTTCGGCTACTCGGATTACCTTTTCTGATCCATAGAGTGCAGTTTCTTAGCCACTGTGATCGCCTGATGCCAGCGGCACTGCTAAACCTGGCCTTCTCTCTTACTCAGTCTTATTTTCTGGAGACTCATACAAAAGATCTCTTGAAGAATAGCATTATATCACCCCATATTACATATATAATTCGCTTTGTCTGTTGTTTGTTTTGTTTGTAAGTTTGTTTGTTTGTAAGTTTGTCTGTCCGGAAATTCGGTTCGACCTGAAGAACGACTTGGAGAGGTCCGGTCAAGGTGGGGATGCGGTATGGCGCTGGGAACAAGAAATTAAAAAGCACCACTTGGACCTTAAGGAAGCACCGCCCCACAGTGGCGGGGCACTCCCGAAAGTTTGGGGTTCCGCACAAAAATGTTCATAATTCGCTTCCGGGGCAGCCTAAAGATGGGGGAAAAAGGGAATAAGGTTAGTAAGGAGTCGCCAGACTAACTGTGGCAGACACATCCAAAATGGGCGGGGCGTACTCAAGGTGGCGGTGCTTCTCGCAAAATTCAGTAACCCGGTTCGCGAGAGTGTTTGGAAGTCGCAAAAAGACTCATTTAGAATGTAAATATCTGGCGAATATAGGGCACGGCCTCAAAGCGTTCAAACGTTTGAGACCGCCCACAGTGGGCGGGGCTTGCCCTAAATCGCAGGGTATTCATTTTAAATGTTTGTAGCTCGGTTCCAGAACACTCCAAATACCGGAAAAAAAAGTGGGATCAACCCGGTCAGAGAGGGTCGCGGGTGAGCAGATTGCGGGCAAAAACATTGTGGCGGAGCCTGCCTGATGGCGAAGCAGACGAAATTTTCCCTAAACACTGCTCCGCAAGAGCCACTTCAAAGACCGGAAAAAAGTGGATCAAGGTCAGCAGAGGGTCGCGGGTGAGGATTGTGGGGCAAAAACATTGTGGGCGGGGCCAGCGTGAGGTGGGCGGAGCCAGACGAAATAAGAACCAACTTCCTAAACAGTCCCGAGCCACTTCAAAGACCGGAAAAAAGTGGATCAAGGTCAGCAGAGGGTCGTCGGTGAGGATTGTGGGGCAAAAACATTGTGGGCGGGGCCTGCTCCGAGGTGGACGGAGTCAGACGAAGAATCTGTAAAATAGCTCAAGAGTACTTCAGACACCGGAAAAAAGTGGAGTACAGAACAAAAGGCGGATATCAGTTGAATCTAGAAATATGTGAAAGAAAGCACGCGCGGCGAAGCCGCGCCCGCCCGGCGCAGCCGGGCCGTATCAGAAGGAGCCACGCCGGCGTCAGCCGGCGAGGCGACTGGTACATTATAAAAGGCCTTGAAAAAGAATAGCAATTAACAAAAAAAATAATAATGTGCTTTTCAGTGTATGGGCTGGACGTGGTATCTGGCAAATGACCTTCAGCTACATTACGTGGTCGCTCCTATCTTATTCATTTCTTTTGCCAAGTCAGTAGGAGTCCTGTTTGGACGGAAGGATTCAATTACTTACTGCCTTTTTCAGAAGTATCCGCTGGGGAATGTTGTTCGGAGGACTGATGATGGCAGGTTCTTCAATTATTCAACTGTGGATTGTTCTTCAGAACGACTATCCACCGGCTCCACTTCTCACCACTAAACTTCAAATGTACGTAAGAAAACCTGCAGAAGGAGTACAGGAACACTTCATCCTGACCACAATCAGGCCTACCATTCCGCATGGGCACTGGTGTCACTTAATTAACTCCGGAGAGATCAAAGTAGCGTACACTATCGTTGGGCGAAACCAATGGTCATGGTGTTCTAGTGGATGGGGTTGAGGCCGTATTTGAGCTCGAGTTTTTCCCCCGTGTTGATTTCCTCGTCCCACGCCAGGTGTTTATCCCAGCCTGGTCCCTAGATGACGGCGCAGCAAAACTACCATCGCTGGTAGTTGTGGGAGTTGTAAATCCACCCCTCCCCCTCTCTTCTCTCGTAGTGTTTCGTCGCATCATCTTTGTTAAAATACTTTGTTTAGCGTGAAAACGCTGGATGCCTACTGGAAAGATGTCTATGTGAGACCGTATGTTCGTTGTGGACCATTTATTGTAGGCGTGACCGTCGGATACCTTTTGAATTTCTTGAGTTTAAACCGAAACGACACCGTCGTCAGAATACCAAAGGTGAGATATTCAGCTCAAGCAGCCTTGGAGATTATGAAATCGACGGTAGTGCTATCAGTGTATCCTTTTGCAGAAATGGGTCCTGATCGGGTGGACGTGCTCAACCATATTAGGGCCTTTACTCAGTATTCGGTTTGTATGAATACGCTCGAACCGGTGATATCTCAGAATGGTGGAGAGCGTTATACGTGATTGCCGGAAGACATTCCTATGCTCTGGCGCTTGGTTGGGTCACATTTGCCTGTGCTACCAACAATGGAGGTTAGTTTGAGAGTTTCAAAGCCGAGTACAGTCAAGAGATCCGAGTGTAGCGACGCGACGAAAGCTACGCTGAAGCGTCGTCATTTGACCAGCACTGAGTACGGGAAAAAGCGAAGAGAATTTTATCGTGCGCTCGGTTTGTTTCCGTGCGTCTCTCCGCTGCTTGGATCTCCTGACCCACAACCTCGAAATTCGAGATTTTACCAGGGGTTATTACCGGACCTTTGTGTAATGTGACCTGTTTGACCCTTATGTAACTTCTGAGAAGTGCACGGAGGTGGTTGACAAGTTGGCGCCGTCTACACTCGCGCGGCGCCAGGTTCGAATCCCGGGTCGACACCCGCCCAGGCCAACCAAGCCTTCTACCCTCCTGGGGAACGGTAAATTGGTACCAGATTCGTCTGGGAGGATAAAACACTGACTTGTACATCGGCTGGCCACCGCAAGTCATTGTATAGGCCACATCGCATTCAATAAGCCACTACGATTCTGAATGGAAGTAGAATGCGTGCCGCATCCCACAAAGGATTGATCAACGGCGAAAGACTTTCATCCTTATCCTTTTTGTGACACTCTGAAAACATTTATATCTCGAGAGCTATCCAAGAGTATAGACTAATATTTTCTAAAGCCGACTCCTCTAATGCTACTTGTGTAAATACGCTCCACTTGCGGCGATTTCATGGATGAGACATACTTCGTCCCAAGTTGTGTCAATTTGCAGGTCAGTAGTACGTTCCGTTGAAGTTCTTCATGCCGTTATCGAAGATTACCTTCTGTGCTTACCTGCTCCATCCTATAATGCTGCAAATCTACAACTTCAGCCGGCCACAACCATTTCACTTCACCACGGCCTTTCAGATCTACGCATATATACCATTTTCACTTTAAATTCGCCCTTTTTCAAACCAAATTCGTCCTTTTTCAAACCAAATTCGTCCTTTTTCAAACCAAATTCGTCCTTTTTCAAACCAAATTCACCCTCACTCTTCATCAAGAACCACACTTATTAGGGCGGGCAACTCATCAACCAGATCACGCCAGACATCACTGCGAGCCCCGCCCCGACGGCCACGCCCACTTGTCAGCGCGGACATAGATTCTCAAATCTTGTTTCATAACTTCTGCTTTTGCTGTTTCCCACAACTTTGACTGGAAACCACCGTGCATTCACACATGGCCGACTCCGCCCATTCTCTAAAGGGTTTGGCACTCTAGGCTGACCACGCCCACTGGCTTTTCGCGGAATTTCGATGTTTTTTCAAAATTTTTGCAATTTAGGGTTGCTGCGTGAAGCCCCGCCCTTTGTGAGATGCTCCGCCCACTTTGAATAAGCCCCGCCCACTTTTCAAAAATGGTGCAGATCGGCAGTATAGAGACTTGGCTTGCATGTTAGTGTATTGCTGATCATTCGGAATAAACTTTGCCGGATTTTCTTGTTCCGAGTGACGTACGAGACCCTAACATGCAAGCCAAGTCTCTATACTGCCGATCTGCACCATTTTTGAAAAGTGGGCGGGCATTCGAAGTGGGCGGGAGCATCTCACAGGGGGGCTTCACGCAGCAACCCTAAAATGCAAAAATTTTGAAAAAACATCGAAATTCCGCGAAAAGCCAGTGGGCGTGGTCAGCCTAGAGTGCCAAACCCTTTAGAGAATGGGCGGAGTCGGCCATGTGTGAATGCACGGTGCCTTTCCAGCAAAAGGGTTTCGTCGGGAAACAAGCAAAGTACAAAATTCATGAAACAAGAATTTGAAATCTATGTCCCGCTGCCTGCACAAGTGGCCGTCGGGGCGGGGCTCGCAGTGATGTCTGGCGTGATCTGGTTGATGAGTTGCCCGCCCTAATAAGTGTGGTTCTTGATGAAGAGTGAGGGTGAATTTGGTTTGAAAAAGGACGAATTTGGTTTGAAAAAGGACGAATTTGGTTTGAAAAAGGACGAATTTGGTTTGAAAAAGGACGAATTTGGTTTGAAAAAGGGCGAATTTAAAGTGAAAATGGTATATATAGAACTGTGAATTAAACAGCCTTTCTGGGGTAAACTACATGGAATCGAAACTGTAAAGTGCCTGTTTCATGAAAAATTTCTGACCGGAGCGTGCAGCTGGTGCAATAGGTACAATAATTAGTTTCAATGAATGATAAATGGATTCTTACAGAAGGGAGGCTGAGTTTCCAGGAGACAATAGTCCTTCTCTTCTCTCTTTCAGCGGAACCCAATGAAACTCCTCCACCCGAAAAAAATAGGACTCCTCGGATTTTTTTCCTTCACTACTTCACCACCTGGCACCTAGACAATCGTTTTTGACTGGCAACCAGGTTACCCATCGAGTCAAAGTAGTGGTGTCGCGCAGTTTGACGACGAGGTGGTGGGAAGGGGCATTTTGTATTAT